TTATAAATCTTAAATAGGTAATATAGTAGTTCTAAACGAGTACGTAGGTTATAATAGTATTTTTATTTTTAAAAATCTTAAACTAGAGCTTAAGTTAGAAAGGATAATAAGAATAGCTATATTAATATAGTTACTCTTACTATTTTTATAAGGAGGTACTATTTTTTTAAACTAATTAAAAATAGAAAATATTATACGTTTTTAAGAGCTATATATCTATATTAATTCGTTATACGTCCTTATCAATTCCTAATATAAATATAATATATAATTATAAAAAGATCTATATTTACTAAACTATAAATAAGAAAGTAATATTAATATTTTATATTAATAACTTTATTATTTTATATTATTAAAACAACTAAGAAATAGCTTAGGAAATCGTTAATAATATAAAAAAATATATTAATCTTAAGGAAAATAGACTAATTAATTACTTCTTTAGAGTACGGATTTTATAAAACTATATTATTTATAAAGTTTATTTTATTTATAATATATATATTAAGTAAGTTACTAAGCGCTTCGACTTTATAAATTTATTATATTTAGTAACCCCCCTTCTTTAAAATAAGTTTAAACTAAACGAGGGGTAAGTAATAAAAGAGGAAATAAAGAGCTACTAAAAAAAGGTTAGAAATATATTTTATATAGCTATTATAATTAAACTAAATATTACTTTTATTTACTTATAATTATTATAGTTCTTAATTAACCTAAGTATAACCTATATTAAAATAATTAATTATTATATTCGATATTTTTATATAATAAGATATTTTACGCTCTATTATAATAATATATTAAGTACGTAATTATTATTTTTAGCTAGAAATACTAGCTTTATAAATAATAAGGTAATATAATAATTATTTTAAAAATATATAATATTTTTTTTAGCGGCCTAATTTAATAAAAATTAGTATACTAAGTAATAGTTATAATGTTAACTACCGAAGCTAAGCTTTTTTATTTTAAAAAAAGTTATAAAAAAGACTATAGTTTTAAAGCGCTTTTTTAAAAATATTACCCTTAACTTAAGAAAAATATAATTAGTTAATTATAATAATTAATAAATAATTCGATTTATTATAGGAAAAGGGGAAAGAATAACTATTTAATTTTACTATATTAATATATAGAATATATAGCTAAAATAAAAGTATATTAAAAATAGCTTTGAGGTTACTTATATATTAATAAAAAATATATTAGTAAATAGATTTATTAAAAACTTTTTATAAACTAAGTTTAAATATTTTTATATACTTCTTAACCTTTATAATGCGTAAGAAGTTATTATAAATAGTTAAAATAGTTAGAAATAATTAATTTAGGCTATACTTAGAAAAACTTAATATTTAAAAATAGATAATAAATAGAACTTAGAGTGCGGCCTAGAGGTTTAAAATAAATAAAATAAAACTTTTCTTAGCCTAAAGGCCTAAACTTTTAAAATAACCTTACTTTGTAAGGTATATATATATAAAAATAAGACCTAGGCTTATACTTACTATTTAAATTCTTAATTTATAAAGTATATAATTACTAAAATTATAGCGTTATTAGCGAGGAGGGTAAGTATATATATTAAAAACTACGTTTTATATATTTTAAAATTTATAAAACTAAGAATAGTAGGAGGTAAAATAATTATTAAGTTAATAATTTAAATTATAAGAGCGAGTAATATAATAAGAAGCTAATTATAAATAATTATAATAAGTATAATTAATAATATAAATATACTTAGGGAAGGGGGTAGGGGGGGCATAGAGAAGAAGTCTTTTATATAAAACTTAATATAGTTTTTATATATTTTCTTATTATTCTTTATATAGTAAATAATAACGCAAAGCTTACTAATTTTTTATTAAAACTATAGTTAAGAATACGCTTTTTAATAATAAAAAAGGATAATATATTTATAATAAAGGGAGTACTATTTATAATAGCCTTAATAAGAGCTTAGGCTATTAGCTATATAATAACTAATATATTAATATATTTCTTAGCTAAATAGTTATTAAAATAGTACGTATACCGGCTATTACTTTTTATAAAATAATAACTACTATTCTTAAGATCGGTATACTAAAGGGCTATTTAAAAATAGGGTATATATTATATTAATTATTTTTTAAAAGCCGCTTTTTTAAACTTTTTAGGGATTAAATATATATTAAATAAGCTTAAAATAGTAAAGAAAACTATACTTATTATAGGGGGTATTTTAGCTTTTTAATATTCTTTTTTATTTTTTATTACTTTTTTAAAAAGAGCTAGCTTTACGTTTTTTAAACTTTAAAATATTATTAAATACGAACTTTTAAAATTATAATATATAATATACTTTTTTTAAAAAACTCGTTATTTAAACTAGTTTTATTTTTATTTTTAAAGTCTAAGGGGGGGATAAATAAAAGCTCTTTAGAGCTCTTATTATTATTATTTATTTTATTATTACCCTTATTATAACTATTAATAAGAGCTTCGAACTTAATAAAGTTTTTAACGTTTTTATTAATAACTTTAATATCCTCTTAATTAAAAAGGGAGAGTTTAGTAACTAGGCCTTAATAAGTAAATAAGAGGTTATAAAGGGGAGTAACGACTTAGAGGGGCTCGTTAATATTATTATTTATTTAAATTTTTAATAAACTATATAATATATATATAAGAAGTATTATAAAAATTATATAAAACTTATTATTATTTTTAAATATATTAGATATTTATATTTAGAATAAAATTAGTAAACGATTTAATAGTATAAGTATGCGTATATAATAAACGGGGGTATTTATAATAATTATAAAAAAGTTAAAAAAAAAAAAAATAATAACTAAGTAATATTACGAGAATTTAAATATATATAAAATAGCTAAGTAACCTCGCTCTTAATAATTTATATACTAAAAATAATAAAATACGTACTATTTTAAATTAAGATTTTATTTGTTTTAAATAAAGGGATATATTTATAATAAACGTAGTTTAAAAAATACGTATCCCTTATACTTATTTTTTTTTTATTTATATTTAACTAAATCGGGCCTTTATAAAAGTATTTAAAAGTTCTATTTTAAGTATAATAGCTCCTTAATAATAGTAATTAAGGGGTATATTACGTAATAAAAATAGTAACTATATTTTATAAAGTACCCGTTACGTATTAAATTACGTATTTATTTTAGATATTGTATATATAGACCTTTTCTTTTTATCTATTTCTATTTTAATACGTTAAGCTACTTTTACTATACTCTGTATGCCCATTGCTACGTGCCATAACTCGTAACAGATACTCAGTAGTCATGAAGTCTTGCGTTTTCTAACATTATACTTGATTCGAAATGCGACAACATGATGGAATATGTTAAACACGCTCGATGAGCTAAGGTACTGTTACTACTGTATAAACAGCAAATCCCGGATCCAACCTCTCCGCGAGGCTAATTTTCAGGCAAGCACTCCAGGAGCAGAGCCTTGTCCCTCTGCAATGCCTCTTCAATTGAACCCAGAGGCATGCCGAACATTTCCCCGACATCCTTTGAAGACTCAATACCCCAGCCGAGATCCTTCACATTGGACATTTGATGGAACTTCTGGCCAAATACGCTGATCCCCAGCTTTTCCAGCTCCTCGGGAGTTCGCTTGGTCACTCCCACCTTTCTGCCGCTGACTTTGACGAGAATGTCACGCACTTCCTCCATGGTAAGAAGTTCATTTCCCATATTGATCTCTTGGCCATTGAACTTGGTCGGGTCCTGCAGGGCTGCTGCGGCGTACTTTCCAACGTCGTTGGCGTCCGTGTAAGGCACACGAGCACCGTTGAGAAGAACGTCGTCAATTTCTCCATGAGTAGGGAGCCGAGGAAAGTTGCCGTAAGCACCCGGCACAAAGAAGTCGAAATGGAGGACAGCCGGACGGAGAATGGTATACGATGTGAATCCTCCGGCCCGCACGATTTCCTCGACTTCTGCCTTGGAGGAGAAGTACTGGTGTAGCTGGAGCTCCTTGATGATATCATCATCCCAGAAGGCTCTGTTCCCTGTGCCGTGGGTCGTAGCTGCGACCACAGTTTCGATGCCGGCTTTCTGGCATGCTTCGACAATGGTCTTAGCCTGCAAGGCCTCCAGACCCGGGTATGGGACCGTGTTGAGGAAAGCTCCTTTGCAGCCTTGGGCCGCTTGAAGAACATCTTCCAAGTTCTTGCTTTCTCCTTGGAAGAGGGTGATGCTGGGATGTTGAAGGCTGGGGTGGACTTTCTGAAGGTCGCGAACCATTGCGTGGATCTTGGCACCCGCTTGGAGAAGATGGGAGATGACCGAGCGGCCCTGCTGGCCAGTTGCTTGGGTGATGAGATAGGTAGTCATGTTGACTGTGTCTTATAGATGGTTGGTGTGATTTGAAGGTATTGGAAGAGCAGAAAAGTGATGCTGTGGATGACTCTGAGATGAATTTCTGTTCAACATTGCGAGGTCGAAAGCGATCATTTATATCTAGGTCAAAGCCTTCTTGCACCGATTCTGTAGCAACGAAACGTCGCTTCTCTTGATTCATAATACTCAGCGACTTGCGCATACTGAGGATTTGCTGGCGCCCAATCGTGGCGTTTGTCGCAAGAGGTGACGGGTGAAAGTGAAGTCCGAAGTCAGCAAACCGCCTAAAACGGACAAGCGGCGAGATGCACAAAGCTCTTAGCCTCGATAAAAGTTGCTTCCTGTGGGGTAAGTGATAGATGGGAAGGATTTGGGGATCCTTTCGTAATGCATCTTTAAGAGGCTTAGAGGATAGCTTACAAATGGCTAGTCTTACTTGCCTGCATGCGACTACATAAATGTCAGCGACCCAGCGACAGCAACTTTCTCCGAGCCTAAGCTTCTGGGATTCTCGTGACACATTGAGAACTGCGACATCTACCGATTCGACCCGACAACGGTGGCCACTGAAGTCTGGTCTCACCAGAAGATGCCGGCCCACCCGTTGCCGCAATGAAGACACGAAAGTGCTGCTGGACGTGCACAGGTCAGTAACGCATGCAGGTATCTGGATTGGACTTTGCTTATGACGCGTCTTCAGCTCGTAAGATTCAATGCGACGGGGCTTTGCCAACCTGCATGAAGTGTGACAGATCCCAGCGAAAATGTGAAGGATACGAGCTTCGATTGTCGTGGCCGAGGGAAGGCGACAACAAACGAGCGCTCAAGAGTATTGAAGCACCAGCAGTGACGGCCATTAAACGGTCCAACCAAACTGTCGTCAATCCCTTTTTCGTGAATGCAACTTCGCATCACATGGAATCGTATGGCTACTCGTCCCTGCAGAGCCAGGGCTGCCATACAACGCCATCGTTTCCAAGGCTCCTGAGGCAGCCCCAAGTTGGAGTCGGTTCATGTTCTATGGACATAGACCTGTTCCATCACTGTAAGCTTAGACACACATAATATCAAGCTCTGGTCTTCATGGTTGATAATTGTTCTAGTTCAAAACTTTGCCTACAGGTCACTGGTTACATTTGGTCAAAATACCTGGAAAATTCGAAACGCGCTCATGAGCATGGCCCTAGCCAAAGATTCGAATTCCGGACTTGCTCTTCTCAATGCATTACTTTCTTATGCTTCACTACATCGCCATGGGCTCAATGAACAAGCCTTGAAGCTAAAGATACAGGCAATTCACTATTTATCAGCCTCAGTGACCAGCGAGGCCTTGATCTTGGGGAGAGCGGCGCAGCACGTGGCCGCGTCTATGGTTCTTGGAGCCTTTGAGGTGAGTGACAGCTTCATCGCCATTTTTTTGCCTCTTTCTCTAATCCATTTCTATTGTATAGATAATGCAACCTTCGGAAGGCTCGGGCGAGTGGCTTTTGCACACATGGGGGGCTGTTGACATGATTCACGCCACTCGTCTAAGGGACGAACCGCATGACAGCGACGTTGGTCAATTGTTGAGCTGGGCTTACTATCATGAGACCCAATCTCGGTTCGCTTTGCACCATTGGCGCCATAAGTCTTTCGTTCCTACGACATCAGTCAAGCAGAACCCAATACTTCAAAATCCCCAGTATCCACCCTTGACGAGATATAGACCCGTAAGTTCATTCTCTCATGACCGTCTGTTGCTCCCCCCTGATAGCCCTGGCAGAACTTACCGCCCGTGAATCCGACTTATGCGATTCTCAACCTGCTTTCCGAGGTTTGCGACACGCTAGTAGATCCTCGGGATCCTCGAAGTCAGGACGAAAGTTACCAGAATCAGCTCAAGGACCTTGGCGGAAGGGTTCGAGATGTCTCTGTCAAACCAGCCATCCCATCGGCTTCAGATCCGGAGGCCGCCTTCGCTATCGAACTGTACCAGATGGCGACTCAGATCTATCTTGTACGAGCCTCGCAAAGCCCATGGGAACCCCCTGCGGACCTTGATGCTCTGGTGGAGGCGGCTTTCGCGGGACCTGTTCAGTCATGCACCTGCGAGCACTTCTTTCCTCTACTGATTCTTGCTTGCGAGGCACAACGTGACGAACAGAGGATCGGCATCATCAATCTGATCGAAAGAACCCAAAGAGATGTTCGAATACGAAGCATACAAGCAGTCAAGAATACCATACAGTCCATTTGGGTGCAGCAAGATCTGCACAAGGATGACGATGTGTTGGTGGACTATCTTGGCACCTTGAGTTCGGCGATCAGCTCCAGCAATACAGTACCATCATTCGCATAGATTGCATAACGCAATTGAGCAATAGTAATGGCAGCGAACTCACCAGAGTCAACACAGCGAATGTAATAGAATCGTCGCCCCGGAGTCTTCAATCACAGCCGCACAACAATTATTGTTCATGAGACCCTCTCAGGAGCAGTAACAAACGAGGCGATTGTCTAGCATTACTGTTACAAACCTGCTTTTAAGTCTATACCACGCTGAGTCTGAAAAGGGATAGACGTTGACAAGGAGCAGAAGAGGCAACGTTCGCCCATGACTGAGAGTAGGAGGGAAGTCTTACTTTTAAGCATAACCTAACTCCTCGCTATGAGTAAGGATAAGGTTTCTGCCCGTCAGGTTTATCATCATTCTGGGTCCGAGATTTTTAAGCAGTCAAATTGCTTTGGTTCTGTTCGACGGAGTTGAGGTGCTTTTCTCGGTCCGTCTGCGCTAAAAAAACCATTTTGCTTCCGATTCGCTGTAAGCCTTCTAGAAGTCCGGAACCAAAATACATCCGGTCTACTTCACGGCTCGAATAACGCCACGATCGTTTGCGGAACATCAATAATCTCGATACCAAGGTTATGACTCGGAACCTTATTTCCAACTACATATGAGAGCTGTTATTCGCACTTTCTTCTGGGCTACTTGGCTATACACCATAGAATAACAAGACGATATCTCTCAACCACAACCAATTCCACTCGATTAAGACTGCTGGGTATCAACTCTATTTCTGTCTCAACTATTCAACGCAAAAATGCCCTCTCTGACCCGTATTGCTCACATTGGCGTAAGTCCTGTAAGATCCAAATGTTTAATCAGCTGCTCACAGATACTAGGCTGCTGGCTCCCTAGGCACGGCTGTTCTCAAAGAGCTCGTCGACGCCGGTCTCGAGGTTACTGTGCTCTCCCGCACCACAGGAAAGCTCCCCACGGAACTCTCATCGAAAGTCAAAGAAGTCGCCGTCGACTTCTCATCAAAGACCGCCATTGCGGACGCGCTCAAGGGCCAAGAAGCCGTCGTCAGCACCATTGGATCAGCTGGACTCTCTCTCCAGGAGACGGTGATCGAGGGCGCCATCGACGCGGGCGTCACTCGCTTCATTCCTTCAGAGTTCGGCAGTGACCTGCAGAACCCCCTCGCTCGTACACTACCGGTATTCGCCGACAAGGTCAAGATCGAGGACCTCCTCGAGAAGCGAGCGTCAGAGACGGGCCTGTCGTACACGTTCATCTATAACAACCTCTTCCTCGACTGGGGTCTGAATGTCGGCTTCATTGCCGACGTGGCTGGCAAGAAGGCCACCATCTACAACGGAGGCTCATTTCCCATTAGTGTGACGAGGCTTTCGACTGTCGGAAAGGCTGTTGTTGGCGTACTGAGAAACCCCGATGCGACGAAGAACCAGACGGTTCGCATTCACGACGGAAAGCTGACAAAGCGCGAGATTGTGGAGGCCGCGCAGGGAGTGACGGGCGCCGATGGCTGGGCAATTTCAGAGGAGAATACGGCAGACGTGCAGGCTAAGTCAGACAAGGCTCTCTCTGAGGGTATCTTTGACGAGTGGGTATGGCTGGGATACATTATTCGCGCCTCGCAGACTGAGGAGGCGAAGCCCGGCTACGAAAGCGTGCAGAACGACCTATTGGGTCTGAAGGAGCACTCGACTGAGGAGGTGAAGGCTTTGGTCCAGGAGATTGCAAAGTCTATTGTATCTGCTTGATCATCTAGCTACGATTTGTTTTATGATTTCTTCTCCACCTAGTCAAGGATATCTAGCTTGAGAAGCTAGAGGCACTCTTCTTTGTGATGATAATAATCTAGCTATCTTCTTGAGAAAGGATAATAGAGGGATGTCACTGGGAGGGGCGCATACGGTGACTTTCGGGATTTGGCTAAATCAGATAGAAGTATACATTCAGCTCATAAATAGGATTTCTTTCAATGTCTTCATCTTGAGTCTCCCGTCATGGTCTAGATCAGTATGACTGAGCGCGCTTGTGGATAACTGACCTCCAAAACTGATGACGATCATGCCTCTCCAAAAGAATCATTTATGTTCGAGGAAATGCTCCCATTTATTCAGTAATCCGCTTGACAGGGGGTGTGTGATATTCTCGACTAGTATTAACAATGTCTTCGTTGTTGGTTAACTTCATGTTCTTATCTGAAGCTCCAAGACAGAGAGTAAGAATAGACGCACCATAATCCAGGTTGTTTACAGAAGCAGACCTGTTCTAGACTCAGATGCCCCATCCTGTCCGCGACATTTTGCGAGCCTCATTCATTCCTGACTGTGATGCAAGTCAATGTCGCTCAGCCGCGCATCGACGGCGCCAATGTAGGTCGCCAGATCACTATCAGGCGGCATGTGGCGACTCTTCACTGCAACTTTAGCTCCCCCGAGGGCTTCTCCTTCATCCGATGTCCCTTATTAGGACACTCCCAATCTCCCGCCACCATGGCGGCAAATTGAGGCCAAATTACTCGTGCTTCACTGCAATTTTTTGACCCCCAAAAAGGGGATCACAGCGGTTGAGGAGCTTTACATAGAGGGCCTAGCAGCATTGGCAACACTAGTGGTGCCGTATGTCCCACTGCCAATGTTGAAGTTCATTGCACCTTTACCCCGCCCCAGGTCGCACTTCAGAAACTGCAAAGCTGAGAAGGTGGACCTGACACAGCCAGCTGCACAGAGACCAAGCTAATTGTCTCAGCGACATGTTCATTTATGAAGCACTAATTTTCAGAAGAGTCCAGGGTACTCATGGGTTAACTAGGTCGGGTCGTCGGACTTTCGAGTCAAGTCTCAATGCCCACTTGTTATCAAGACACTCTTGCTACGAACGACTCATGGTGTTACTAGCTTCAGAAGTTTTCTCAAAGTCAATTTCAAGCTTTGTATGCAATCAAGTAAGTAGTCCATCCTTTTCATGGTGCTGCGGCTGTTCCCACACGTCGCAGTCCCTTACGCGGCTTGGACAATGCACTTTCGACTCATGGACGTTTTTTTGCACTACCAATTTGCACTTCAAGCCCCTACGGATGAACGGCAACTCAATTCCTTCCGATGAAATTGCTTTGACTTCTGACCAAGGCGGCAAAAGCCGAGTAGGGTGAATTATGGTATGTTCGGCCCACCAGAGACTTTTCACGTGGTCCCTGATCCTTGAAACTGCAGTGCTTAGTATAACACTCACGTCAAGAGAGAATGAACGAACACGAGCATTTAGTCCCTTGGGTTTTGCATCAATGACATCGAATAACACAGTTCAAACCATATTGGAGACCAATTTTCTGATGCTTGTAAACCAACCGGGGAAGGGTGGTCAACTCTGGCCGGAACGCTCGTATTAGTGTCCCTCGAATGCTGAGATCCGTACGCGAACATGAGCATCTGCAACGGTAGTCAAAAGCTTATCACCATTATCCTGGAACCATCGTGGCTCTGCTCTCTGGGGCTCTTCTCATCGGAGGTCTAACACCGGATAGCGTGATGAACGTGCACAATTTAGTTGCTTCTCAGGAACGTGGTAGGCAGATAAAAAATTGTCATCTCTTGTGCATTGCCTTGAACCTTAAATAAGCACGCTCTTCCGACTTTCCGGGAATCAAGCTTTCAGAAGACTTTTAGTATGTCGTCGAGTCAATTTCTTAGCTGGCAAACCCTTGCAGTTTGACTCGAGTCTGGATCTATCATCCGAGCTTCCCAAGCGGCCTGGGATGAGATGACGATTCCAAATGATGAACGCCGTCGGGCTTACGAGCGAAAGGGCAACGATGCATCTCGGGATTTGAATAAAACGAGTGTATATAAAAGTCTCATCTGACTGAACCTTCTCACGATGGAAGGTGATACTCGCTTCTTAAGTCCATCTCTCAAGTTAACCTCTCAAGTCCATCTCTCGAGTCCATTCCATAAGTCATTCCCTCAAGTCTATCTTTGAAGCCAACCTTTTGCGAATTGAAATTATAACATTCCTTCAACAATGAAGTGCACCTACATCCTCCCGCTCATCGCCGCCACCCTAGTCGCCTCTTCAGTCCTACCAAGCAGAGACCTGAGTACGTAAATCTAGACTTTTCCTCACCTGTACCCACAAACTCACCAGCTTCTTCAGCCGAAAGACAATTAAAAAAGTGCAAAACCTTCCAAATCTTCAGAGACCCGGACGCCATCACCGGAGGCAGCCCCAATTTCGTAGGCACACCGCAATGCTGCTGCCAAAACGAGCAGTGCCACGTCATTGACCGGGTCAACGGCATCAACACCTCGGCGAACTTGAACGATTTCCTCGCGGGCACTTTCACTATAGAGGATGCTCGTGGTCAGGATAAGGGGACACCTGGATCGAATGATATCCGGGGGGCTACGTATACTGTTGGAGCGCAGGGTGGCTGTAGCAAGTGAGACGGGATGCGATGGCTGTGGAGAAGTTCACGGCGTGGGGTTTATTTAGAACACCGATGACGAGATGAGAGTTGAAGAGAGCCTCTTGAGCGAATGAGTATGAGGATAGATCCGTAGGGTCACATGCCAAGGTCACTAAACCAGATCTGGTGTCAGGACAGTTCCTGCCGCATTCACTGCATTTTTGGCCGCTCCAGAAGGTCTCGCTACCATCCAACAGATCAACCTGATAGGAGTCTTCAAGCTACAAAGGGCCATCTAGGGTTGCAACTTGATAGCCTCTTAAGAGCATCTTAATTCTGCCTTAACAAGACCTCGCCTTCTCACAAGAGGACATGTGCATATGCAGGCATCACCTTACTAAGTCCACCATACCTTATGAAGAAACCTTCCCGAGGGAGGTGAAATGCTCTCGAAAAGATAACAAGCTTCGCATGGGTGGTTGAGCGTTGAATTCGAGTCAACTTGGCCTTCGACGCCTAAGGTTATTATGTGACTTCGACACCCTCTCGGTCTTCGAGAGATCTACTAAATGTCATCGTACTCCAGTTCTACCTGGTAGGCAGCCCTGATTCAACTGTGGCATAAAATATGCAACTAGGA